TTCTGTTTGTTGGTTGGGTCATGCAATTTCTGTTTTGAAGGCAAAAGGTAGCGGATTGTTTTTAAAGAATAAGAGCTGGGTCCCACTTATGTGAAAATAGAAACAAAAAATCTATAAAGGAAGGGTGTTTTCGTATATTCCTATATTATTGTCTCTGGACCTTAATGAAGAAGGCCTGACAAAAGTTGGTCATTGCTTATCTTAATACTGGGCTTATTGCGGCCTCTTAACGAATGTGAAACCAATCGAAGAATCAAATAAAAATATCCAAATTCTGATGCGTTGGTAGGAGAAGTATGTATGCGTTTAACACGTTACAGCATCTAGAGCCAGACATGACATGGCCCGAACCTGAGTCCGACAACTCTGTAACCGGACCCGATCAAATTATTAAATATTACAACATTAAAAGGGTTTTGGAAACCACCACGAGTTTCTGGCCCAATTACGTGACCTTGAACCACCCACCATAACCATGCTCTATAGTTTGTCAGCTAGTCGTGGTAGTTTGAAGGAAATATCTCATCGATTTGTATGCGATTTGTATTTGTATGAACTATTCACCATTTTTGTTTTTTAATTGAATATATCACCATTCAAACCTAAGTCAATTAGGATTAGTCCACTTGTGAAGTACTGAGAAAAGCTGACATATACCACTTATAAACTAAACCAATCGATTTACACTGAACCGTACTCGCGCGACACTTCTTGATCATTTCATAGCATTACTACTAAACCAAATTCAACTTTCATTGTCTTTTTTTCTTAAAAAGAAATCACTAACAATTGACGAACAAACAGATGTTGGCCCTAGTTCTTTCCTTGGTGAACGAACCACGACATAATTAGAGAAAAAAGAACATAACTATTCAAAAGTAGAGGAAAAGAAGTTGGAAACTTTGAACTTTGTGTACCAAAAGTAGAAAAATAAAAATATTTTGTCATTTTGTCATTTTCCGACGGTTGCATTATATTCTCATTTATATATTAACACACTTAGCCATCGCACTTGCTTGCTTCAAACATTTGGCTTCCTTTGTTGCTTTCACCAACACAAAAACCTTCTTCCATTTTTTTGTTCCTCTCCTTAATTTTATATTTGGTTATTTTCAAGATATTTTCTTCAAATAAAAAAAAAAAGATGGGAAGAAAAGCATGTTGTGAGAAAATGGGAATGAAGAAAGGGCCATGGAGTTCTGAAGAAGATCGAATCTTGATCAATTATATTCGTCTCCATGGTCATTCCAATTGGAGAGCTCTCCCTAAACTCGCCGGTAAATTATACAGATATATC